AAAAAAAAACTCATGTGACTTGCCGAAGGGGGAGAGATATCTCAGACTGATTACAACAGAGTGTGAATACAATGTCTGTAATGGACTTTGAGCTTGAACTTTAAACCGCAGATTACACGAGTGATCTGTATCATAATGTTATTCTGCTTTGTCTGGGCAGGGCATGGCTACTTGTACTTATTTTGTTGCATTTATGAAAAATAGTTTTTGATAGAAAATCCTAAATGCAGTGAATATAAATTTTAGAAAGACAAAAAGCACAAACCATCACAATCACACAACAGCACACAAGTCTTTGCTAAAACTGCAAGCGGCTCTTGGTCTCAAGACTTGCCCGTTACATCATCTTAGTGTTGAACAATTACTCAGCTCCACCCCATCTTTTGTCACCTGCCAATCATGTCTGGCTTCTATTGTGTCCATGGGAAACAAGTTAGTTGAGAACTGCTATCCCCAAATGACCCAACAGTCCTCCACTCCTTTCCCTTTTCACTTCATGAGAGTGTCTATAGGAGTGTACTGGCTTAGGATCTTTATTGTAAAGAAAAACATGCCTGTCTACTTCTGCCATCATAACCAATTACTAAAAAAAAATGTGCAGTGGTTAAAAAATTAAATAATAGTTTATTTAGAGTTATACATACAGATTCATTCAAAAACATTTTTGCATGATATGGTCATCTTGTTCATACTTGTTCATGAAAAACACAAAAAAAGATACATTTTTCTTTCGTCTATTTTCATTTTAAAATTAAATAGATTTAACAGTAACACAAAAATATTAGCAATACTGCAAATAATATTTCTAATATTTAGAAAAAAGTTGTGTTCATAGTAATCATAAAAATATAAGCACCTCATCATAATCAATAATCACTCCAACTTCTTTAACTCCTTCAAACGCTAATCTAAATATTTAAAACACGCTAAGAACTTTTTTAAATTAAAAAGTTATTTAGGTTCATCTTAATATTCAAGTGAAATAATCGTTTTCTAATTCTGTTAACTAATAATAATGAAACTAATGTTTTCAGAGGAAAAAACACAGGAAACAAATATACGTGTTCATAAAAATGGTTAAAACATTTAAAAATACTGGACACAAACACACCGATATGCGAGTGTCCATCGGCTTTTCTGCTGTTATCCTAACGATATTGAAAATAACATAAACCACTAATTCCTGAGAACACAAATCTATACCTGCTTGATAAAAATAGAAAATGTTCAAAAGAATACACAAACATAATTTACATATTATCTATCTATAACTGTATTTGTCTGCACATTTATTTCTTTTAAACTTACACAAAAAACGGATGTACCATTTCATAATTATACATTCCCTGCATTTGGATCATTACACAATTTGAAATATTTAAAAATACACCAATTAATATTCAACAATTTACCTGGCTTGAGACATGTAACAATAGCATGTAAAGTCATGAATTCATTTGGAACAGTACTGTATCTTTGGGAATGCTTAAGTATTTCCTTTTTAGTGCAAATCATCTTATGTTGTTGAGCTGAAATTCCATACAGCCATCAGAATGAAGAAAAAAAGTGATCAGGGTTTGTAAAAGCCATGGATTAAACTGAAACTGAAAATTATAAAATTTAAAATAAAAAACATCTGTAAATATTTAGGTGACATTTATTAGAATCTGAGTCTTCTAATTTTTTTCGATCGCTTTGTCACATCCTGCGTTAAATTCCGCCCTTGGAACTTCATCCGAAATGAACTAATTATCAATTCACAGTGTGTAGCTGTTAAAATACACCTCGAAACTGAATGAAGGAGACATCTTTAGTCTAGACTGTGTGTGTGTGTGTGTGTGTGTGTGTGTGTGTGTGTGTGTGTGTGTGTGTGAGAGAGAGCACACAAGTGCTAGTTCCCAACCTTCCCCCCTTATATCTCTGTATAGTAAAAGATAACACACACACACACACACACACACACACAAACAACAAATCCAAACACACTGTTAAGAGTCCACAAAAGGACAGTGTGTGTGTGTATGTGTGTGTGTGTGTATGTGTGTGTGTGTGTTATATTTTACTATACAGAGACATAAGGGGGGAAGGTTAGGAACTAGCACAGCTGTGCTCACACACAAACACACACACAGACAGAGATCTTGCCCGTCATAAGCTTACACTTCCTCACTCATGCCCTGAGGACAACACCTTTCTGTGTGTGTGAAGATGACTTAATGCTCCGATTTTTCCGGAAGCTATGCGAGGGAGCGTGTGTGCGCGTGCACAAATTTGGTTTTGTATGTACTTAGACAGTGGCCTCAAAAGACAACCTAAAATATATAGGTAATAAAATACCAAGTGTAATTCTACTAATTAGAATTGTGCACAAGCACAATTTTCAAGCAAAACATTTCACAAAAAGAAGCTTGTTATGTTTGCAATTATAAACTAGTTATTGTATTGATAATTAATCGTTGTAATGCATGCCCACTTGTAATAACTCTAAATCTTAAAAGTGCATACAAAGCAATATAATATTAATGAAATAAAAGGCCACTCAAAGAGAGCTCACTTTTATGACCGTTTCTTAAAACATTTATTTCAAATTAACATTTTTACTTTAAAGTGCATTTTAAATCATTATGTTTTAATAATCTTTTGCCATGCTTTAAAGAAGTACACTTATTTTAATGTGTTGACTGACTAACAGACTAAAGCACATGGCAATACTGGATTATTATTATTATTTACACTGTGTTATTATTCATTTGAGTTAATATATTTTATTTATATTTATATTTTAAATATAGTTGCACTTCATTGCAACTTCAATAACTGTGCAGTTACAAATATATTTAAATACATGACATGCAAGTTTCAATAAGAAATGCCATTAAATTATATTTCAGTTTGTCAGTATATACATTCAGCAGCACACTTTAACCATACAGGACAACAGAAGTAATTATGAAATTACTTACTAATATTATGTACCTAGTGGGTCAAAATAATGACTCTTATGTTTAACTAATTGCATTTAATGTAAATGTTAATGTTAAGGATAATACTACATTTTCATTTAATTGCAATTAAAAGGCATTAGGGTTTCTGAAAATGTGACATTCAGGTTGCATTTAAGTATATTATTTTTATATATTTATTCCCATACTTTGCATAGTTTTAAATTTATGCCAAATTGAACTTGAGGAGAACTGACTTCAGACATCCACTAAAAATCACCAAAACACCAGCAGATTAAAAGACATTGAGAAAAATTAAGTAAACAGAAAATTTGAGTGCTCATATAGACACTTGCTTTGATATTCAGTATTTGGGGGGGGGTT